TATTAAATTCAGCCCAGGGCCCAGCGATATTTTTATTCTTTGATCCTGGACCAATGGAAAAGGCCTCAGGAACCCAAAAGCTCCACAAAGCATGATATGTATTTAACAATTCACTATTTCACTTGCCACGGTAAGAGTATGAGCCACAGGCTGGAGCTCACCAGAGGTTACCCTTAAATATCTTCAACAGCAGAGAAAAAACAAACCCGTCTGCTGCAGTTCTAGCATTCTTAATGGGGAACAAATTGTACACATGATCAATACAGAGCTTCATGTTCCCACCATGGCGTCTGCTAAAAGCATTCAAACAAGTTGAGAAATATACCAGCAGCCCTACCACCCTGCAGCTCACAGCTGGCAGCCCCACTGGAGCTCAGCAGGCGTGAGCCTGGTCAGTACCTGGATGGGAGACTCCTGGGAAAGCTCAGGTTGCTGTCTGAAGAGGTGTGAGTGAGGCCAGCAGGGGGCGCTCACCCTGTGGTCTGTGTGGGTCCTAATGCCCCAGTACAGTGATGAAGACACTACACTGCAAAAAGGCGCCATCCTTCAGATGGGACATAAAACCGAGGTCCTGATTATCTGTCGTCAATAAAAATCCCAGGGTGTTTCTTCACCTTTCTTGTTACCCCAGTATTCTGGCCAGATGTCCCTCTGGCCTTTACCCATCACGGCCTCCTAATAATCTCCATGATGCTCCTGTACTCTCCCCACACACCGGCTCTCAGTGGGGAGGAGAGCACAGTGATGAAGCACTATATAAGTGTAAGGAATTTTTAAATTATTATACTGAGAAGGGATATCTCAGGAACAGACAAATCTCATAATATTTAGGCCAAGCATTTGTACGTTCAGGTTAAAAGCTTCCGCGCATGCCGCGCCACGCGTTAACACCGTACCTGTCCGATCTCCACCACGGAGTCCACGTTGTCCAGGCCGACAGGGAACTTCCCGTTCTGCATGTCGTACACCATCCGAGAGCTGCCGATGTAATCAAACGTCTCCTGGAAGAGAAGAGACCAGCGAGGATACCCCAGTGAGGAGCTGCCAGCCGGGATTCTGATGCCGTGAAACCGCCACTGTTGACGACCCCGTTCTTTCACGCCCCCCGACATCTCAAGGAGCATTCGGAGAGACCGCGGCCGCAATCCCGCCCAGCGGACCCGCGCGCGTGACCGTCGCGGTTCCCCACGGGCTCATCCCCTCGCCGCTCCACCCCGCCGGTTCGTCACCGCAACACCTGGGGCCGCGAACCCGGCTCTCCCTGGCGAACCTGCCGAGTGAGCTGAAGGAGACCTCCCCCAGCCCAGGCGGCTGAGGTCCCTGCTACGCGCAGGGAGGGTGATGACGGCGCCGTGCCCGAACTAGCTCCGCGACACGCGGATGGGCCCGGCAGGCCAGGAGGCGGACGGCCGACTCACCCCCTGAAAGAAGGCGAAGAGGATGTTCTTGGGCAGCAGGGTGGCGGACGTCTCGTTGACGCTGGCCAAGGCCTGGGCCACAGCCAGGAGGGTGACGAACCCCGACACGGTGCTCTCCCCACCGGGGGCCACCTCCCAGAAGAACGACCGGCTGTCCAGCTGCATCAAGATCATTCCAGTTAAACAAGATTTCTGTGCACGACTGATGGATTAGTAGTGCCTTAGCCCTAACAACGAGCAATTCATTGACACACGTTTACGACAATGAATTATTGTTGGTATAGAGACTCGCTCCCTGTTCCTCATACTGGGCTGACAGCTCTATTGAGCTCCCTGCCCCCTCCCCCATCTTGTGCTAGGAGAGACAGCTGTTATAGCTGGGGATCT